AAATCTTAAAAAGAATGCCCCATATTTATGTGCTTTTATATATATATATATATTTATAGAAAGTGACTTATGCGGACTTTCCTGCGCTCTTAGCTCGCCAACACATTTATGATGTTAGTTCACTATTAGCACTGTCTCTTGGATGTGAAACATACTCGACATTAGGGCAAAGCTTACATTCAAATTTGTGTGATATAAGAACTAATTTACAGTTTACTCGAATAAGAAATGTTTGCAATATTTTGTTTAACTTGAAATAAATAATCCTCTATTTATAAAGAAATTTATTTCTCAATAAGATAATACTACACCTCCGATGGATTTTTAAAGTACTCTAGAATTTTGCTCCTTCCTACCCATAACTTTACCCGACAAATTCAAACCGTCAAGAAAAACTGCGTTATGAAATTAATAACAAAAGGTAGNTACTTTAGACTTTATATCATTTATTAAATTTGAAAAAAAGTTTTCTTATTTAGTAGTTACATACCTAATACCTTAACTGACACAACGCTAACAGTTATTAATCCAGCTAAACGGTGTTATACCTGAGACCGTATAGTTAAGTTAGTCCACAGTGTTGGTCTGATAAAATTTGTAGAGCCTGACTGTTGTGAAGGGTTTGTTGTTAAATAATAGTAATCATCATTTAAGTTTGAATATAGGAATCACGAAAAGGAAAATTAAAGAAGGTAAGTTGATTAAAAATATACGAATTTCTTCGATAGTTAATCATTAATTTTGAGTAGACGACTGCATTAACCTCCTACGAAACGTAGTAATTTGTTTCTATTTATTATTAACATAGTTTGTTGCTTAATTACTCAATAAGTAATTCTCACGCTCATCAGTATCGTATTACAGATCAGTCAGTTATAAATGGCTTAGGCAGTCCTGCAGCATGAGAAGTTCATTTTTTAGAATATTTAATCACTTTTATGCCTTAGTAAATTAAATACTAATAAAATATCGGGGTGTAAACATCTACATACATTTAGTACTTTAATAAGATTATTGATTGTATTTTTTAATTTTTATATATACCCATATCCAGTGCAAGTTAATTTATTGGATTTTACATTTTGAAATAGATATTTTTATGGGTCGTGCTAAGAGTGCAAAAATAAAATTGTCGTCAAGAAACACTATTTACAGAAGAAGTAGAGATAGAGATGAAAAGCTAAGTGCTGATAAGTATATTCTCGTTACGAAAAAAAAAGTTTGGATCTTATCACAATCACGCTGGCATTCAATTGATGGATTAAATAATGACGTCTAATAAAGATATGAAAGTTAGTGGCGCCTGTAGCGACAATGAAATTATCAGAAAAAGCGCTAATTTTAATTCTATATATACTTCTTGCCTACATGCAGCTAAACGATACGCTGAATCACATTATTGGTGCTACATCCCTACTACAATGCATGTAGTATTAAATGTAAATATCTCAAAAAGATATCGCTTTAGTTGTAAAATAAACATAAAATTATGTACCATATCGACCTTACGCCAGGACAAAAACGCAACTTGACAAAAAAAAGAAATGGAAATAAGAATTAAATAATCGTCAAATGTTTTTCTTAAAACTAGTTCACGCATGCGTTCCAAAGTTAATTTCAAAACAAATAACCGAGTACTTTTTTGAGAACGTAAAAGGAGCGGTCTTAAAATTAGTCTCGAAGCTAGTCTCAAAGTCCGTATAAAAACTAGTCCTGAAACAAGTATTAAAGTTTGACGAAAAACGGTTAGTAAAATAGATCCCATGATTTTACAATATGTCTCAAATCTCGTCCTTAAACTGGTCTGAAATTAGTTGTAAACCTTTTTTCAAGGACTGTTAAAACGTGAAATAGATCCCAGGGGGGTAGAAAAAACCTGATATTAAATAGGTCTTTAAGCTAGTTTTTATTTTTGTCTCAAAACTAGTCCCCTAGTGAGTCTTATAGTAGGTTTTAAATCAGGTACTAAATAAGGACTGAATTCGTGAAACACTGGTTTAACAATAAATCTCAAAGCTAGTCTCAATGTTCGTCTCGAAACCAGTCCAGAGAACGTCTTGAAGTTTTACTAAATAGGTGGTAAAATAAATTTTAAAGTGTGTAAAAAGCAGGTCTTGAATAGGTCTTAATGCTAGTCTCCAAACGAATTTCAAAGTAAGTTTTAAAATAGGTAATAAATCAGGTCTCAAAATGCGTGAAAAAAATTGTTTCAAAATAAGTCTCAAACTTAGTCTCAATTTTTGTCTTAAAACTAGTTATAAAACAAGTCTTAAAGTTTGTCTTACGACGGGGTTTAAAGAAGGTCACTGAGTATACGTAAGAAACTGGTCTCATAATAAGCCTTAAAGTTTCTCGTAGAGTAGGTAATAAAATTGGTGTTAGAGTGCGTGAAAAGTCTGGTCTTGAAAAAATTTTCGAATCTAGTCGCAAAGTTTGTCCTTAAACCAATAATAAATAAATAGTTACTGAAAAATTTGATGTTACAATATGTCTCAGATCTTATTCTCAGACTGGTCTGAAAATAAGTTGTAAAACTTTTTTCAAGGACTGTTGAAAAGTGAAATAGATCCCAGGGGGGTGAAAAAAACCTGATCCTAAATAGGTCTTGAAGCTAGTTTTTATTTTTATCTCAAAACTAGTCCCCTAGTGAGTCTTATAGTCGGTTTTAAATCAGATACTAAATAAGGACTGAATATTCGTAAAATACTGGTTTAAAAATAAATCTCAAAGCTAGTCTCAATTTTCGTCTCGAAACCAGTCCAGAGAACGTCTTGAAGGTTGACCAAAAATGGGTGGTAAAATAGATTTTAGAGTGAGTAAAAAGCAGGTCTTAAATAGGTCTCAAAGCTAGTCTCCAAACGAATCTCAAAGTAAGTCTCAAAACAGGTAATAGGTCTTAAAATGCGTGAAAAAAATGGTTCTAAAATAAGTCTCAAACTCTTTCTCAATTTTTGTCTTAAAACTAGTTACAAAACAAGTCTTGAAGTTTGTCTCACGACGGGTTTTAAAGAAGGTCACTAATTATACGTAAGAAACTGGTAGCACGTATAATAACAGGTCATTGAATAGATCTCCACGCATGTATCAACAGTGGTTCTAAAAGACATTCCAAAGCTTGTCTCAATTCTGGTCTCTAAGTTCGTCCTAAAACCAGGTTTTAAGCTCGTGTAAGAACTAGTTTCAAAATAGATTTCAGAGACTTATTCCAAAATAAGTTATCAATTAAATCTAAAAAGAAAATCTTACAGTTATCATTGTGCAAAATCAGCAAACTGATTATAAATACATATACGTTGATTGAAAAAAGGATTTATTACGGATAACAAGATTGATATTTTTAAATGGTGTAAAGCTTGCTAAAAAAATTATCCTGACAGAGTTCTTAATAACTGGAGCTAGCGCGTGCCTACTCTGTTGAGCATCTGAGCATTATGTATGTGATTGCTCAACATCTGAACTGGCCCTGACGATAGACGCTGCATTATTCTCGCTCACAACCATATGGTTGTTAGCAGTAGGGTGGGATAGAGGTGGTGGCTCTTTCGTAGAACTTGTTAAGTAGACAGGAGATGAAGCAAGAACCGTTTTGTCTAACAAAAGTATGAAAACAAAGTGACGCATCTCTACTTTAATCATTATTTAAGTCATAAATAATTGTACTCATCTGATTAGGTGCATCGTCAAATCGGTAACTGCTAGAAAGGATCCAGTAGGGACTCAAGGACTTCAACTGCTACTAGGTTTAGGGCTGGGAATAGGACTTTGAGCGGCATCAAAAAGAGGACATTAGGAAAGACTTTTGTTTGTGCCTGAAAGGATAGATAGTACATTAATTGTGGTGAGTAAGTTTTATAGTTCGAGAAAACTTAGTGATGTATTGATTTTATTAAAATATAAACCATTAGATATAGAAATAAGTCTCAAAAAATTCGTCTATAAATAAATTTCCAAATAAGTATGAGCAATTTATTAAAATATAACTAAAATGTGTGTCAAAGGGATTCTATAATGAGTATTGAAAACAATAAAAAATTTTGTAGTTCTTAATGGATTCCGAATCAAATTTTAATACAGTTGTAAAGCAGATTTTAAAGCATGTGTGTATAGAGATTATGAAAGAGGCCTTGGTGCATATCACAAAGTATCTCCAAAAAATTGATCAAAAAGTGTAAGTCAAGTAGATTAAAAAAAATAAATAAATAAATAAAAATATATTAAAAAACAAAGCTCAAAAGTATAAACAAGATAACATAAGAGGCATTAGAGCAGATGTCAGAAGTCTCGAATCGTAAATCAGAATAGATCTTAAAACCGATCTTTTAAGATAGATTATTAAAATAGATTTCAAATGAATGGCTTAAAACAGATATTAAAAAATGTACAGAAACATGTAAAAATAAACGGTAGCATATGACAATTCCGACCGTTTCGTTGAAACTACTAGCGGTCAAGATACAGTCGGCATTTTTTTAAAAATGATCGCAAGAACAATAACTCTGTGGTCAATGAGAGTAGTGATAGTGTATGCGTTGCAGAGCATCAGCTTATTAAAATAAGAAGTACGATAGATCTCATCGTGCCTGAATTACAGCAATATACTAGAAAGCCGGATTTTGCGAGACGTTGTTGCCAATCGACAGCGAGTTACGTATCACATCAGCCAGTAACCTACATTTTTTTAAACCGCTGGACATTGCGTCGCTTTTGTCTAATTTTTGTAAGATATCTAATTAGCTGATGTGGGCCGGTTTTAATCACAGAATCGCTAAGGATAATAGCGAACTGCAAAAAATTTAATATCTTTCGTCGATTAATGAGTCGCCGTTGAACCCCATATGAAACTATGCGACGATGTCAATAAATAGCTAGAGAATGCCAACAAAATTACATGCCGGTAACATACGATTTAGCTATCACAAGAATCGCTTATTAAATTAAGTCTGTAGAAAAAACCATATTTTGACGACATTTTTATACACTTGGGAGGTTTTCATATAATGATGGCTTACTTCAAGGCTATAGGAAAATTCATCGAGAAATCCGGCTTCACTCACATGTTGATCGAGAGTGGCTTGCTAGCTAGTCGTACTGTGAATAGGTTTATAAGTGGCAAGCATTTTAATTGGTGCATATGACTACACCTGATAGTTTTTTTAGGTTTGAAAATATTACCTGCAGAGAAATTTCCGAAAAACTTTGGTGTCACTGTAAGCCAAAACGTTAGTCAATATTTAGCAGAAGATTAATCTGAGAAGCTGCATACCGATAGTATAATAAATCCCAAACTTTTATCACTCATGAAAAAATATTTAGAATACAAACAAAATACACTCAGTGGCATGTGTGGTAAAACAGCACAGTTCTACGTTATGTACATTGAATTTATTAATTATTATTTAATGTTTACCAGAACCATTCGCATGGGAGATTTCGATGTGTACAAGTATATTATTCCTAAGTTATGCAGCTTTTTTTGTCTTCAATCACAATAACTTAGCCCGCTGAATCCTGAAATATCTCAATGATGCGTTACAAGTTGAACAAATACATTTTCAACTTGCCGTTGTGTTAAAAAAAGCGATGTTGGGTAATAAAAGAACTGGAAATTCTTTTTCTCGCAATCTTTTCGATTTAACTCTGGAGCCAACTGTGAACGCTGACACGTCTAGGCGATTCACAGGCATTATTCATTTTACCAATACCATAGCAGCTCAAAACAGATGGGCAAAAAAATAAATTGTGATTCGTTGTATAACGTTATAACTGCTCGAACTGTGACCTAGGATGTAGCTGATTTTCTCTTGGGCGTTGATGTAAAGGGTCAATAACAGCACGATTGTTTTATATCAGAGTGCTCGTAAGATTCTGGCAGACTTAAATCTGCTATTAAAAAAAACAAGATTCTTAATTTTCAAACTAGCAATATACAGCAAAAAAAAACGGTCAATCATAAAATACAAGAAATTAAAATGCAACATGATTTATTTGGCCGAATGTGGGGAATTTCGATGCATGGAGTGGCAGGTATAGAGAAAATTTTCGGTTACCCGATTTTTCCGATTCCTACTGCATTCTGTTATTTAGACGGCGTCGTATGCAAAATTGATAAATCATTTTTAATGAAACTTCTGCATAATGAAAATCCCATGATAAATCGCGTTGACGTCGTTCTCGTTGATGGCTTTTTTTTACTTCACTGCATCAAAGACGTTCCAAAATCATTCGAAAATATTTCCAAAAAAATATTAAAAATTCTAATGAGCTACAATGCTCCATGTGTACACATTTTATTTAATAGATACTGTTCTCCATCAATAAAAGATAATGAGCGTTCGTTGAAAGGCAAGGAAGATGGCAACTATAAATTTATAACTGCTGGGCCAGAACATGCTAAAACTCAAGATTTCGTCAAAGAATTGAAGAATGATAAATTTAAAGTAGCTCTTGTTAACGTTTTAATATTACACTGGCAAAGTAAAGATGTGGCTTCTTTTGTGGGCTATAAAAGTATTGTAGTTAATTATGAAAACTCTTCCTCACATATCGTGGATGACAAAGGGAGAGTCATTAAATAAGAAAACCTTTTCTTGCCCGTCACACGAAGAGGTGGACACGAAAATTGCTTATCATGCTTCAAAAATTGATAATTATGTTTTGATAAAATGCTCACAGGGGATTTGGGCATTTGGGCTGGCGCACAGGGGGCTCAAACTGACTTTTTTTGTTAATAATTATCTAGAGACCACAATTTTTGACCTATTTAGATAATTTTTTTGCTTATTTTCAAGGTAATATGATTTACAAGACATCTGTCGATGCCAATTTTGAATGTCTGACTTTAACTTTGATTGGCCTAACCTTAAATGTTAAAAATTAGCAAAACGTGCTAAAAAATACAATTTTTCAACGGATAAGTTTTATTTTACGGAGTGAAATTGGGCAATAATGATTTAATATTATACTCTAAGATATTTTATGACAAATGCATCATCAAAACAATTGAATTTAAGATTACGGATCCAATATGGTGGACCAAAATCTGATCAAGTGCTTAAATCTAGACCAAAATTCCTACTCAGGAGTATCCTAGGTTACTGATTACGAATCTGGGATCACGATTTGCGAATTGAAGATGGCAGATCCAATATGGTAAACTGACATATTATTAAGTACCCAAATCTTGACAAACATTCATATTTGGGAGTTATTGGGGTCTCTGATTACGAATCCATGGTTACAATTTGAAAATTGAAGACGGCGGATGCAATATCACAGACTGTTAGACTTACTATATGTCAACAGTGGCCGAGATATTTTCAAAATAAATCTAAACAAGACAACTTTTTTTAGTTTAGATAAGTAACAGTTAGAAATTTTCTATTCTTCTCCTGTAAGTTGTACAACAAAATTGAACCATACAATTTATTATACATTGTAAGAGTTACAAGGAAAGGCTAACTTAAAATGATCACGAATTTTTTCTTTTATTTTCTAGTTCATAAAAATATTTTTTTTAAATCTTGAAATTGATTATGACGAAGGCTTGTATTGAAATATTATAAAATAGTTTGAAATAGATAATAGAACTGTTATAACACTAAAAATATAGTTCTATGGTAAGATTTTATTTTTTTCAATTTATAATAGTTCAATTATTGTGGTAAAAATGTAGTATATGCTCCGTCGTTTCCTCGTCAGCAGACGATCATTGGATAATCACCATTTGTATAATGTTTACACGATACTTGCTTGCTTTTTACATGATTCATACCTTACCTTATCTACAGATGAAACATACATAACCTGATATCAACGCAATAATGACTAGAAAAAAGTGAAACTTTAAATCGATGCAGCTGCAAAGAAATTACTAAAATTAACATGAAAAGATATTAAATGTATAATAATTAATGTCTGTTTCTTCCTAATTATGTTGCAACGATAATCGTACTTATTATGTAAAATATAAAGTACTTTTGCATCATATAACATACTATTCTTCAAAAATTTGTCTCATTGTTATTCAAAATATATTTTTATTTTCATAATTTTATTTTTACACAACTAATTCATAATCTATTACTAGTACACTCATCATAACGCTAAGTGTTCATTTTACAACGACTCAGAGTATGCAATCAATTACTTATAAAAGCTGATTCTATACTTATAAGCACGTTTTACATTATACTTTAATGAAAATTAAAGAGAAAGTGCTACATTACTCAAGGGTAAACGAAATTTAGGTAATTTTTTGCTCTAACTTTAAAACATTGACAGGCCACCATGAAAAATATTGTATAACGTTCACGTGGTGAAAGCCATCTATCCAATAGGTACTGTGCAGGTTACAGTAACGTAATACATACTGTATTCACCGCACAATCATTGAACTGTTATAAGTTGAAGAAAATGAAATCCGACCATAGAACTGTATTTTCAGTGTCATATCAGCATTATTATCTACTTGAAACTATTTTATAATATTTCATCACAAGCCTTGGTCATAATCAATTTCAAGACTTTTTTGGTATATTTTTATAAATTAGTAAATGAAAAAAAAAATTCGCAATTATTTTAGGTTAGGTTTCCTTTGTAACTCTTACAATATATAGTAAATTGTACGGTTAAATTTTTCCATACAACTGACAGGAGAAGAGTAGAAAAGTTCTAACTGTTACTTATCCTAACTAAAGAAAATCGTTTTGTTTATATTTATTTTGAGGTTATGTCGGCCACTGTTGACATATAGTAAGTCTGGAGTAGTCTGCAATATTGCATCCACCGTCTTGAATTTTCAGAATCAACGACCTCGAATACTTCTAAGTCGGGATTTTTGTTTAGATTTGGGCACTTGCCAGATTTCGATTTACCATATTGGATCCACCATCTTGAATTCTCAAATCGTGATCCCGAATTCGTAATCAGCGATCTCGAATATTTTTGAGTAGGGATTTTGGTCTAGATTTAAGCACTTGATCAGATTCCGGTTCGACATATTGGTTCCACCATTTTGAGTTCAATTATTATGATTATGCATATTTCATAAAATGTCTTAGAGTATAATAGTAAATCATTACTGCCCAATTTCACTCCGTAAAATGATACTTATTCATTGAAATAATTGTGTTTTTTAGCACGTTCTGCTAATTTTTAATATTTGAGGTGAGGTCAATCAAATTTTAAATAGGAAATTCAAAATTGGCTTTGACAGATGTCTTGTAAATCATCTCACCTTAGAAATAAAAAAAAATTATTCAAGTAGGTCAAAAATCGTGGTCTCTAGATAATTTTGAACAGAAAAAGTCAGTTTGGGCTCCCTGTGTGACGGCTGGTTCCTGACGAACAAAAATTAAATTTATTTGTTTGTAGAACGAATCTACGAGTTCCGCACTTTACTCATAGAAGTTTGGACGTAACACTGGCATAAACTCACTCGAAGGAAAATTAAAACAAAATCTTTGTATAAAATATCATATTTTTGCCTTAGAAATTTATATTTTATTATTCAATCTCTTCCATAACAGCAATATTAACTGGAGTTGTTTTTATTTTTCAGAAAGCAATCAACTACAACTATCTGAGACCTCACAAAGTTTAAAACTGAATCGCGTGCCTCAAGGTACTGATAAAAATAATCAATCGAAAAGTTACAGAACTATAGGTACAAGTCCTGTAACACCACTTTCAACAATACATGCATGTAGGTCATTTGACGAGCTTGAAAGTGAAGATGATCTTGATAAAGAAGATATAACGTTCCCTCTTGATGCAGGTAAAATATTGATTACTCTGTAAAAATACTTTTGCCATGTAATTAAAATGTCATTTAGAAGTCTTGGAAATTTCGTTAAACTTAGCTTTAACTGTTGATATTTTTTTTGTTTGAAAATTACAAAGATAGTATATTACACACTCATGTTGTTAGCGAGAAAATTATGAGCTACGTTGTTTGAAGAGATTAAATTAAATTTTTTCAATCAATAAATCAAATAAAATATAGTACGATTCATACAGTATTTGAGAGAGTCATATCAATTTTTTTTTTGCGGAGTAGCAAAACTCAAAAATTTTACTACAACTATTAAGTATACTAAAAATTCTAACTTTACTCTATAAAACAAACCGATTAATTGATTTTTTTATATCTTACTATCACCCTTAAAAAAATTTTTAAAAGTTGCATTTACTTACATTTTGTGCATAATTTGTTTACTATTTTAAAATCAACGCTCGTACCTTTTAATTGCTCACGCGATTACTGCCGTACAGTCTGTAAGTATACTATAGCAAGGTAAGTAGGAAGATTCCTGGCTGCAATGCTATGAAGTGTAGCCTGATTTTTCCACTGATTTGAACGCCCCGCTGCTAAGGGGTTTGATTAGGCTCACATTTTTTATTTATTTGAGAAGCGTGGTATAGATTTGTACCTACGAGAAGATAAATGGATTCGCGTGCAAATGTGCATATATCTTATCTATCAATTTATAAATTAAGAACGTTAATACAAGCCAACAACTGTAATTAATGAATGGAAACCAATATTCATGTATGATCAAAATGGTTAAAATTTTTTAAACAGCCCCCTCCCTCAGCCCTTCTTAACTGAAATGGTAGACCTTGCCGGTATCCTTATTTACCACGTAAAGACAAAATTTTCTTTTTCTCTTTTGTTAATATATGTAGTTTATTTTAATTCGATTTCACCTTTTGTCTATAACGTGTGACGTTGATGTTCAAGCTGGAAACCAGCCGCTCTAACATCTTCTTACAAAACTTGCTCGCACGTTACCTTTTACGTCCTTATACACTAGATACCTTTCCTCCAGAAGGTCTGCCATAGGTGTCTGGCTTAAGAACGCCAAATACTCCGAAAAAGAAACTAAAAAAGGGACAATGGGGCTTTTTTACATCTCATCGGCGCTTTTTCTTCACTCACTAAAACACTCTTAATATTCCTACTTTTACTTTTTCATACACACATATCGACGCCCTGGATGAAGACTATGCCCTACTTCGAAGCCCAGACGAAAACTATGCCCTTTTCCTAAATCTGGACAAATGCTGTGCCTTTTACTCTGGTCCGAACGAAAACTATGCCCTTTCGGAATTCCTGACAAAGACTATGCCCTTTTCCGGAGTTTGGACGAAAACTATGCCCTTTGGGGATCTCGGACGAAGAATATCCCCTTTTATTGAATAGTTATTACAGTTTTTATAATATTTATTTTACGAAATCTTTTAAAAATTTCATTCTCTTTTTTTTCAAACACTTATTTAAACTCCAAATACTGAAGCCGCTAGCCCTGCTAAGAATAATGAATACATGTTGTTTTTTCACAAAGGCATTCGTAGATACTTGGATACAAGTATCGTGAAACCTTAATATAAAATTTTGAATCGTTTTCAGTAGCTTCGTTTTCAGTACAACACAAGAGGGGTCAGTAAATAATACTTAAATGTTTTTTAACTTAGTTTTCGTCCAGACACGGGCATAGTTTTAGCCCAGACTCAAAAAAAATGACATAGTTTTCGTCTGAGCTAGAAAAAAGGCATTATCTTCGTCCAGACGCAAAAAAAGAGCATATTCTTCGTCCGGGCTTGAAAAAGGGGCATAGTCTTTGTCTGGAACTGAAAAAAGAGCATAGTTTTCGTCTGGACTAGAAAAAAAGAGCATAATCTTTGCCCGGGACGTCGAAAGGGCATAGTTTTCGTCCAGGGCCAATCTTGGCATAGTCTTCGTCCGGAGCGTCGATGTAAGCATATGAGTGTGTGTATATATACAATAATATTATATAATATTACTTCAAGTTTGTTTTTTCATGGTGCTGTTATAGTTTTAGATTTTTGTTTACCAGAAAGTTATGATCTTTCCGTAAATATAACAAAACTTAACAAGAAATCATCCTAAACAAACATATTTGAATAAACTTTCTGATTTTGTCAGACCAATGGTTTTCCCATTGTTGTTTTCATCAGGAGACTTGAAATGCAGAACAAATTATTCATAAAATTATTGAAATAGCAACAGTAAATAATATTATATTATAATAAAATAACTCTCTCGAATCAATATTTATACAGAGTTAACTAACAAAATTTAAGTCCTTTGTTATATACCAGAAGATTAACTCAACATTTTTTTTATACATGCTTACGTTATAATTAAAAATAATCGTTTCTTTTAGAAATGGAGTGACGATATTTGGTCAGTTTCTAAAAAATTGTTCTAAGTTATTATGAACATGAAACGAAGAAAAAATTGATTAATTATGCCTTATTGTAAGACATAGAGAATAAGAAATTATCTTAGATATTGGTGTAAGCAGACTAACTGTTTAACTCAAATAGTCCTACACATCTACGATTCTATTACACAATTTATAATGTAAGCAAAATAATTTTTTTTTTTACATTAAATACTTGAACAGATACTTGTTAACATTTTTATTTTAATGCAGTACATTAGCAGATGATTGTTGTTGACCTATTTCAAATTTAAATATTTAACATTATTTTTGACGAACAATAATATTTTATTTACAAATATTGAATTTTTAAGGATGCTTACTTTTCAAATACAGTCTACTGATGTGTTTCTTTAAGACACCTTTTTTAAAGAAGCATTTACCACATTCTGAGTTAATTTTTTTTCTAATAAGTTGTGATTTTTTTTCTGTATATTCAAGTAGGTTTGTCTCTTGAATTTGAATCCACAAAATACGCGTCAACATGTTCCTTCTTATGACAAACAAAGTGTTAGTGGTTTTCTTTCATGACTTGGCAAAGCTTATGTTTAACGTATTTATTGTAGGTTTTTTTTTTTTTTTTTCACAGATATTGAAAACTTTTTATCCGTAAACGTAGTAGTCCAAAACTCACAATTAAATAGTGTTATGAAACTGAAAAATAAACTTGATTCATAAAGTTCTTTGACTGTTTATAATTTTTAACTTAATTTTATAGTTCACAGCTCTTGATTTAATTCAAATAATATAGGTTTAATAGTACATTAAAAAAAACTCATTATTATAGTTTCTGATAAAAAAAATTGTATTAACTTGGATAAATTTTTGCTCACAAAGTTTTTTTTTGGAATTTCCGGTTCAGGATATTGAGTTGAAGATATGGTACTAAACGTGATATTTTAACATCCGTGTGTTAACCTATGAAACAATCACTGGTTTGCCCGTATAAATCAAAAACTGCATTAGTGGAACGTAATAAATATACACCAATACTTCATTTACATTGGTACTTTTATGTGATAAAATAAAATTTACTTAATTTTTCATTGGATTAACAAAATGAAGCGTTTTCAACAGAATAAATATGTTATTAAAATTTTGCATACTTACTTTCTTACCATTTTAGTTTTTACCGTTTACTTTTCTAAGAATAAAAATTGTCTACTAACACTTTGAATTTAAACGTTCCTTGTTAATTTAACTATGACGTTAAAAAAAAAAATAAATAAAAATAAATAGTTTATAATACACAAAGCTTCTAAGAGAAATTATGAAATGACTTAGAGAATCACTTACCTTTAAAACAAACTGAATAATTATGTATGGGTCACTTTATCTAAAATAGTCTGTTTCGTGCCCCCGTCAATTACAACGTCGCGTCGTGTAAGGAAATATCGATTTAAAAATTTTTTTTAATGATCAAGGGAAGTTTTCTGCTGGAAACACAACCAAATAAAAATTACAACAAAGTGTTATTTTAGTTAAAGCTACAAAAAAATGGCTAAATTAGCTTTACATATTTTTTAATTCTTTACGATATGATATGTTGCAGTCATTAACATAAGCATAATTTTTTCGCATTTTGGAGAATTAAAAAAAAAATGTATCCATGATTCACATAGTATTAAAGTTGTGGGACCGGAATCTGACAAATTTAACACTTGAATAAAAAACGTACAGTTGAACTGAAGCGTTTCAATTTGAATGTTTTAAATTCTATCGAGACCAAATATCTTACAGACATTTTTTCCGATATGTCCATCGAGATAAGTCGGTGCTGCAACCTTTTATATTTTTAAGTTTGATCTCTCTAAAATAAACAACTAAGAGCTCGTAACGCTTACTAATAGCGTGTATTTTCTCGAGATGTTTGATTGTCGATTTAGAAGGTTATGGTTAATATAAAGCTGTTTTTTATATCACATAAATGTACAGGTATCTAAATATTTAATTGTATTTGATGCATCACAATACGGTTTTTTCAACGAGCTTATGAGAGCCTGTTATGCTTTTTATTTGCTAAGAGCCTTAACGCTTTGTGTATTTGTGTCATGTTGAATTATTGACTGTAATTGCTTGAATATTTATGGTCATTACACGAAATAAATGTGAGAATAAAGTCAAATTATCATTGAAAGCGCTCTCATCTTTGTTATCATAAGATTTGATAATAGTCTGTTCGGTTTCTACTTTTCTTTAATAAAATAAAAAAGCAGAAAACAATTTTGTTGTTTGGATCTAGGAGAGCCCAAAAAATTGTAGCTGTTAATCATAGATAGTACAAAAAAAATGTTACAACAAATCCATTTACATTAAAAAAAATTTTAACTCTTTTAAAATATTTCAGTTTTTGTGAAATGACCGATCTGTCAATTTTGTCACTTCAATTTTTTTTCCTCTAGGTACTTTAACAATTGAATAGATACCTAGAAAATGTTTCTCATTGTTTGTCATTTGAATAAAAATTTCAAAATTCTATGTACAAGGCTTAGAAAGCGGAAAAGTAAAGGGGATTCTTGTTAATTAC